CGTTCTAGGACTTCTCCGCGGCTTCTCTGCGTAGCGACGCCGCAGAAAAACACCGGGCAGAATGCGGAAGAGGAGCCGAGCCCTGCTGCAAGCGAGCAGAAGGCCGAGCCGAGCGCGGCCGAGAAGCTGCTGGCCGAGGAGAAGGCGAAGCTGGAGGATCAGCTGCGAGACATGAGCGTGAGTGCGCGGGCCAAACCCCGAGCAGGGCCTGGGTGCGACCGTCTCATTAATCCCATCGGGATGTGCAGCAAGGACCGGGATATATCCCGCGCCCGAGAGGAAGGCAGAATCGTTTTGCTCAGTTCGTTGCATTTAGATTTCTGGATGGAATTCAGTTTTCTCTGGCCTGAAATGTTGTGAATTTAACTTCACTGCTGTCAGCTCCCTTAGATCTGCGCTCACTGCAGAAATAATTTCTGGAAGTCTTTTGAAGGGTTTGAGCGTGTGTTTGGGTATGTGTTTGTGTGCCCTCAAAGAACCAGATCTCTGCAAGTGCAACTGCTTTTATGTGATAATTCACTTATTAAAGTGCATAGAAAATGGGAGTTTCAACCCTTGCTCCTTTGTTCTGGCCTAATGATTCTTGTGTTCTCTCCTATGCGTGATTTCAGCAGAGGGTGAAGGAAATGGGAGGTGTGGATTAAAACAAGATACTGATTTTCTGGTTGGGTAGTTTATGAGGAGTGTTTGAGACATTGAGGATTAACCCCAAATCTTCTCTGACAGGGTCAGGAATCATAACTGGATTAAGACTCCTTTCTGATGACCTTTTCGAAGCACTGAAGGCCAAAACTGAGGTGTTATTTAACATCTCTGTGAACATTTGTATTTTCTGTTGGCTCCATAAGATGAAAGACAACATCAGAAAAAGGAGAAGTCTTTGGTTCATAAAACTTCATATGTCCCTAGTGCTGAAAATTCCTGCCAGCCTAATTTGTTAGCAAATACGAAGCCCATCTTGCTGCCTTTGCTTTACTTCTGCGAGCACTACAGCGAAGCTGAGGTCTGCCATGGAGCAGCAATGCTGGGATACTTGGCTGTCTTCAAATTTGTCTTTAAACTGAGGGCTTAGGCCATGTCCTGGTTTAAAATGCTGTTTGATACTGAATATGCTTGTTTGAATCATTAACAAACTCAAACACCTATAATGAAATCACTTCTGTGATTGTGTTTTCTCCTTCAGGACAAGTATAAACGAGCCTTGGCAGATGCGGAAAACGTGAGGCAAAGAAGCCAGAAGCTGGTGGAAGAGGCAAAGCTTTATGGTCAGTGGAGACTCTGTGTGTGCACTCCTAAGAGCCCAGAATGTCCTTTGCAACACGCTGAGCAGCCAGCTGAGCTGTCTAGCAACAGTTTTAACAACTTTTACCTTCCGAATATTGTGGCTTCTTGATCAAAAACATATTTGAGACAGAAAGATTTAAGCAGTTCCTTGTTTGCTTAAACTGATTTTGTCTCAGAATTCTAATCATCTCACTAGGCAAGGGTGACACTTGATCTTTCGAAGTCAACAACTTGGAATTTTGGTTGAATTTAGTATCTAATTTCCTACAATATGGATCAAACCAGGGAGTTTTTCCGTAAGGCTTGAACAAAGTTTACCTCTTTCACACAGGCAGCAGTCAGCCTCGTATTTACAGCTTTTCCTTCTGCCCTGTCCCTGCTGTTTTGTTGTTGTTTTTTTTAAGTGTTAGTGACTTCTCTGCTCTGCTGAAAGCCGTAGCTTTCCAGCTGAGGTGGTACATCTAAGCAGCTGGGTTTTTTTCCAGCAACAGCCTTTGAGGAGCTTGTCTTCCAAGGCCAGGCAGACAATTTAAATGTCTGAGTCACCTTTTTTTTAATGATTCAGACACAGGTGTAAAACAGATTGTATGTAAATACTGTAGCAGAAAGTGCTGTGTCATTTCAGTGCTCAACTGTCAACACTGACTGGAAAATTGAATTGACTTCTTTTGCCAAACATTATTCCCAGCTGTATAGTTTAATTTTGAATGCAGAAGACAGGGTCATCAGTATTATCCACTGTGAGGAAAAGGTTTCTCTGTTACGTAGTATTCTAGCACAGTTTTCGTGGATGTTTGAATGCAGCATCTGGAAGTTCATTTTCAATTCCCTTTCTTTTCACTAATGGGATCTTTAGCACGGAAGAGCTTTGAGCCGTGCCTAGGTCAGAGGTGCTTCAGGAGAAATAAGTATGTTTACTACAAAAACCGCATTTCGAATCAGCGTCATTCACACTTTTTCTATTAAGGGAAAAGAAATTGAATTCTGAGACTTGCATAGATCCATAGAGATGCAAAGTCTGCAGATGTAACTTAGGCGGAAAAAAAAATCTTCTGAAAAACTTTGTCTACTTGGCTTCAGATGATTAGACAACTGGTTAATCTGTGGTTGGCATAGTTGCTCGAATCCTAACCATAGTTTTTATATTTAATTTAAAATATTAACAAATTAATATTTGTTAATATTTTAGAACCACTTGGACGCTGTCATTTACTGTTTAATGGAAAGATTGAGTCTCAAGGAATGTTAAAGTGACTCCTTTTTCTGAGAACCTGTTGGTCCCTATAAATCTTGCAGTTCAGTCTCCCTTCATCTCCTTTGTGGAAACTGGAGGCGTCTCCTTTGCTAGTCTCACATCACTTCTTGCTGCAGAAAGTGCAATTAAAACGTGACACATCAGGTGGAAATACAGAGTGGGGACAAAATAGAGCTTTGGACTTCAGGCAAATTCCAAGATGAGAACAGACATAAAATATATTCCTCAGCATGAGGGAATGACACAAGGGCACGTGATGGTTTTAGTAACTTCTGGTTATAAATGTAACTGCTAAGGTCAGCTCACCAGCATAGCTTCAGCTCTTCTGAGTTTAAAGTTGATTTTTTTCTCTTTTTTCCCACAGATTTAGGAGAGGGATGTGGTTTGTAAGGAACAGTAAAGTAAAATATAATATGTGAAACTGGAAAGGACACTTTGCCCCAGCTGTTCGTAATATCCTTGTTTCAAGTCTAAAACTATAGAGGTTATTGAGCATTTGTTTCCTACACTGGATGAATCCCATTTCCTCTTTTATTTCCTTAAAGGAATTCAGAGCTTCTGTAAGGACTTACTAGAAGTTGCTGACATCTTGGAGAAAGCAACAGAGAGTGTCCCAAAAGAAGAAATTAAGGATGAGAATCCTCATCTGAAGAGCTTATACGAAGGGCTTGTCATGACAGAAGTACAGATCCAGAAAGTGTTCAAAAAACACGGGCTGCTCAGACTGGACCCTGTCGGCGCCAAGTTCGACCCCTATGAGCACGAAGCCCTGTTCCACGCGCCCGTGGAGGGCAAGGAGCCCGGCACCGTGGCGCTCGTCTCCAAGATGGGCTACAAGCTGCACGGGCGCACGCTGCGGCCCGCGCTCGTCGGCGTCGTCAAGGAGGCCTAGGGCCCGGCGCGGCCCAGCCGCCGCGCGCCCCGGCCAGCCCGGGCTCCCTCGCGTCCCGCTCCCCTCCTTCCTGCAGCGGGAGAGGCCTGAACAAACCACCCGAGAGCTGCCCAGCCATAATGAAGCGAGCGATGAGTTCTGCTGCCTGGCGGCCTCTGGCGCCGCTGTGATCCGTGAGCGCTAGTCCCACGTGCGAGTGCAAAAGCCCCTAGGCCCTCTGATGCTTCGGGTAACAGTTAACAGAGTCAGTGCTGCTGAAGGTGCATTAAATTAGAGGAAAAAACACGCATGAGAGTTCTTACACTTTGTTTTTGTCACTGTTCTTGGAGTGAAAATCCAAGCAGTTGTTCAAACACTTCATTTTGTTTTGTAGGGTCCGATAGAGCAGAGAAATGGGTGCAATAACCAGTTCTCTGCCCGTGCCCAGCAGCCTTCATGTGCTCATGTGATAAGTGGCTTTTGTTGGATGATGTCTCTGCCGAAGCAGAGCCTCTCTCAACACTGAACTTGCCCCCGGTGAGAATTCTGACCTGTACGAAAAAGGCAGCAGAGAGTAGACATCTCTTGTAATTGTTCAGTCCTCTTTGTTCTATATTAAAGCTGTCTCTCAAAAACCATCTAATATTTGTATGGCATTGAAGGACCTGCACAATTTATCCTATCTCTGGATTTTTAATTAAATATTGTGTAAGTTGGTTTAAATGATTTTGCTAGTCTTGTAAGTCCCAAGCCTTGCAATAAGTTTGTTCTGCACAATCCAGGCAAAGCCCTGTTGAAACTCAAGATAGGCAGGATGAGTGAATAGCTGCGAGTTTGGTACCTATTATCTGCTGGAATTACGTAAAATAATTTTAAGTGGCTCAAACAAAGGGGTGAACTCAGTTTCATCTCTGTTTCTTGGGTTTACTCTTCTAGGAGCTTGAGTTTCAACGTGCTTTTGTTGTGCTTAACTCGACCAGCTCTTCCCTGCAAAAATGAGGCTAAGCTACAAGTACCTTCTGAAGCGACTGTGCTGCACTGCCCTCTCGCTCCTTGGGACAGCAGTGGATGGGGCTTGGCCAGCCCTACGGCCAGCAGCACGTGTGTCCTACAGCCTCAGAGCTCAGCTGTTTAACATGGGATAGAAACGAGAACCTTCTGCAAGGATGTGGTTAACTAACAGCAAAGTACATCGGAATTTCCATCCTACCCCTCTCCTAGTTTCCTTGGTTCTTACCCTTTCAGCTTGAATATTACTTCTGAAAAAATCATATATAAAATTGCCACCAGCTACTCCCAAAGGGAGGTACTGTTTGTCCTTTAAACCCTGTATTTCGTGTTGGTTTGAGGGCTTCGGGGCACTGACGAGCCTACTGCTTCACGTTTGGGTTTAGTGTAGCTGAAGGCTTCATTATTTCCCAAGTCAGCCATCGCTGGTTGGACTAGGCAGGGGAGGGAGAAGGAAGGCTGTGTAAGGACTTCTTGCAGACTAAGTGGTTTCGTGGAGTACAGGGATGAAATGTAAAGGCTGGTGACAATAAAGCTGGGGAAAAGGATTTCACTTAAAGTGTAGATCAGAGTTGGAAGCCACTTCTTCCCCAATGTGATAGAGCACACTGTGTGTGCATGAGGGAGGGCTGGGCAAATGTTTCTGTATTTTCAGGGGGATTGCTGCTTTAGCTTTACATTGTGCCCTTAAGGGAGCTTTGCCTTGTAAAAAAGTTCCCCCCTTAAACAAAAAACACTGATTTAAACTAAACTGAATAATAACTTCTGTAGTAGAGGTTTTTTTTTAATTCCCTCTTCTATAGGGCAGGTGGGACTAACAGCCTCTATTGGCTGCATCAGGTTCCTGCCCAAATCTGATTCTCAGATTGTGTCCCTCTCTTCAGAAGGGAGCTAACACTTAACCAGACCTTTCTTTTGTAGAAGTGGCCCTTTCAGGTTACTGCTTCAGCACAACTCAAACCCTTACCATGAAGGTAAGGGCTGGATCCCTCATTTCGGCAGTTCCTCCTCCCTGGGCACTGCTCAGCAAGGCTTCCAGCACAGGAAACGCAGGCCCCTCCGCAGGGCTGGGGGCACCCGGGCAGGGGCAGCGCTCAGGGAAGCAGAGACGACAGGGAGGCAGTGCAGAAGCTCGAGAGCAGCCAAGAAACCTCCGCTAACGCTCTGGTTCCACTATTCCCAGGCAAAGCTCACTTCTGTCAGTCAGGAATTGAGCTCAAAGGCAGCACCGTTGTTTTTGCAAAGGCTTCGCTCATCTCCTTGTTACACAAGCTATGTTACCAGTTAATCCATTATGGAAAGAAACTTTAATGCAAGTTTATTTATCAGGATACAATGAAAAAAATAACAACCCCAAAACAAAACTAGCCAAACGCTGAGTGTGCATCATCACCACCAGCACCAGTCAGCGTGAGCTGCTCGCAGCGCAGGCTGTGCCCGGACACAGCGTTCCCGCGAGGAAGACGCTGCCGGCCTGGACGTGCTCGCCAGGCCGCTTCCTGCACAGTAGCCTTGTCCCAGCTCAAGAGAAACCGGGGCCCAGGTAGAAACCCTTTGTGAGACTGCACTGACCCGGCAGAGCCAAGGTAAGCTGGCTGCAGCCACACAGCAGCTCTCGCAGCGCTGGAGGAAGCGCCCCGGAACGCTGCTCCTTAGGCTTTACAGCAATGAGGCCAGGACAGACGTTATCGTTAGTGAGATCTTTATTTAGAAAAAAGAGCCAAGATCATTAAGCACAGCAAACACCTGCTCATCAGCAACACGAAGGCTGCGGTACTTGCACAGGACAGGAAGCGCTGCCTGATAAACGCGAGGTCGGAGTCCGAGAGCTCTTTTTGCCGTGTTATTTTCAGCCCTTTCAGCAGAGAAGCAGTAGAGCTGTGAGAAGTTGCTGGGTTAAAAAACTGCCTATCAGCTTAAAAAAATAAAATAATCAGCAGCTCACTCGAAGGAATGCTTAGACTAAATCAGTTCCACGGGAAAATATGGAACAACAGCATCCTCTAGTGCAAGTCATCTTTAAGTTAAAAGCATAGCTGACACAGAGACACTGCTGCTAGGGAAGCCCTTTCCAAGGGATTAGTATTTGCTAAAGCAAACATTTACTACCTTGAATTTACTTGCAAGGATTAAATAAATATTGATATCCATTTTTTCATACATTAAAAATACATTAAAATTTTACATTCATTTTGATGTTCAATAAGTTATGTCTAGCACCAAGGAAACATTTTGGAGGGGCTGAGGAATTAAGAAACTACAAAGTAGAAATGCAGAAGAACTCGTGTGTACAGTATGTAAGTGACTTAGTGGTGCCTAGAATTTTTAATATTGTTTCAGTGGGCTATGGACTATTGCTTCAGTTAGACCTAGATGTGCCAAAGCGCTGTAGAAATATAAAAATCAGAGATTTGGAGGGGGGGGTTGTTTCGACTACCCACGATTGGTTTGAGCTCCGAGCGAGGCGGGCGCTGCAGAGCGTGCGCTGCAGAGCGTGCGCTGCAGAGCGTGCGCAGGGACCGGCAGCGGAGCCGCAGGCTGCGGAATGCCCGGAGGCAG